TTTTCAGAGTATCTCCGTGTCTAGCTTCACCATCTCCCTATCATCTGTGCTTCTTTCTCACCTAGTCTTTGTGCTAGTGTAACTTTTCAGTCATAGAGTGAAATTGCAGTATAGGTGTGCTGCAGTTCTGCCCCACATAATTCACTCTTTCCCAAGTGATGCCTGATTAAAATCTCTCTGATAATATGGCAGGGACTGCACTAGATTTCTTTCCAACTCTATCCCGCTATGAAGAAGTCACTCTTGGGGTAAAACTCTACTCTGTTTAGTTTTTAAAAAGTTTCCACCAACTATGGGCTTTTCTTTGGGTTACTTTTGCTGGCCAACCCACTATTTCTCACTGAAGCAGCTAATTCTGGGTTTACTTCCTCTACTGTAGGGAGCTGGTATTATCCTAGATCAGGTCAGTTGTTTGGTAGTCACATCTGCAGCCCTGTGCTAAGGGGGAATCAAGGTGAAAAGCCAGCTAGGAATTACCAGCTTGAACCTCATGCTGGTGGGATTGTCCTTGGACTGACAGGTTTCTATTATATCACTTTCAGAAATATACTTTTTAGTTAAATATAAGAAATGTCTTAGCTGGGTGTGGTGGTGAATACCTGTAATCCCAGCACTCAGGAGGCTGAAGTAAGAGGATCACCATGACTTCGAGGCCAGCCTGAGCTATACATAGTGAGATCCTGTCTCAAAAAAAAAAAAAAAAAAAAAAGAGAAATGTCTCACTTGTTTATAAAGAAACCAATAATGAACAATAACAATAACCAGGACTTGAGTAGGCATGAACAACAAGCTTTATCTTCATTCTTTTCTTGGCCTACAGTAACCCTTGGGAAAACAGTGTAACTTGTCAGGTACTTTCTGTTATAACAATATCTTCATTTTTAACCTTATGACATATTTAGTTAGTAATAAACCCAGCTGCTGTAAATGAAAACTTCTTTTTCACATGTTCTCTTTTTCCCTAACTCAGAAGATAATCTCTCATAAATCCCAATGGTTGTTATACTCCTTTTTCTTCTATAGCTTTATTATTTTGGACTCATGAAAAATAAGCAAGAGTACTATGATTTTGGCTTGGTGTTTCTGGGAGTTTTCTTGTAGGTAACACTGATTGCTCATTGTGGTGTAATCTAAGCTTTTTAATGAAGCACATGTATGGTTTCTCTGAACCCATTTTCCCAACTGCTGTAACACCACTGGATCGAGGCAGGATGAAAAAAATACATTCTCCTCATGACCAGGATTAATGCTCATTTTGAAAGCTACAATTTTTTAAGTGGGAGTAATAGCTTACTAAATCATAATGAAGTTATTGCAGGAATACGGGAAGTCCCAGAGGCTCTTATATACACTTAATGTAGACTAATCATCATAATAACAACTGCAAGAAAGTATATTGGTTATGTAAGCATAATGTTTTAGCTCTTTTTTCACATGAGTCATATACATTAAGCCTTTTCTGTCTGAGCCATGTTCTGTCATCTTTTTTTGTTTTGTTTTTTTGTTTTTTTTTTTGGTTTTTCTCCGGTACCGGGAACTGAGCTCACGACCTTGCGCTTGCCAGGCAGGCACTTTTGCCGCTGAGCTAAATCCCCAGCCCCTGTTCTGTCATCTTTCAGATTTCCTATTTGTACTCACTGATGATTATACTTTTACAAATACAATTCTGCTACAAACCTCTCTCTTTGACATTTTCTTAATATTGGCTGTACACTTAGCCCCTCCATTTCCATTTGATTTAAGCCATGGATTAGAAACACAAAAATATTCTGAAATTCCAGGCTCAAATACTTTTTCCTGTTTTTCGACTCATGTGCTAGATTTTCTTTAAGGACACATCGTCAAAATCTAAATCTACCACACAAGGGATCATATAAACGATATGTTCTTGAGCTGGAATATAGCTTAGTGATCAAGCACTTGCTTAGCTTGCCAGAGACTTCCGCTTCATCCCCAGCATCATAAGCAGGGCATTTTCTTTAGGATTTTAAAAATGTATGCAAATAGAACATAAATAAGGTACTTTGGAAACTCTCAGGTAACACAGACCTTAGTCAACTATTGTTTTTTGTGAATTAACAAAGGAAGGAGATAAGAATAGTGCTGAGAATTCTTTCAAACATAAAACATCCACTCATAGGTTTTGATGGAGACCACATTAAGGTGGCACTGAGCAGACCTTAGAATCAATCAATTGACTTTCTATATTAACTTACGAGTCTGTCTCAGGCCTAAATGACTTGCCTAATGAGCCAGCAGCTGGGACGCAGAAAGAGAACTCTCCATGCCAACATTCATGGTAGAGGCTTAGAGTGGCTTGTGACACTGTGATATCTCTGAAGTCAAGATAATACCACAGCTGAGAACACGGAGTCTCCCTCAGAATTCCAAGGTAATAACTGCCAGTCTTAGAGATAAAACGGTTCTCTCATTAAGCAAAGATTTACTGCTTGGAATGCTTTTGTTCCATTTTTACAAGGCCTTATCCATGTAAGACAAGCACATTCCCACAGAGCCATCTATCAGCCCCTTGATATGAGGAACAAGAAGAATAGGACGGGGAAGAAGGAGAAGGAGAAGGAGAAGAAGGAGAAGAAGTAGAGAAAGAATAAGAAGGTCTTAGCCACAAGAGCCATGACCTTCTTGGACCCACGAATACCATATTACTTTGTCTATTGTCTTTTATGCTTCATCATGCACACTTGTGCAGAAAATCAGGAGACTGGTCAGCTCTATAAAGTTTTATTTTGACTTCTGTTTTTTTTTTATTTGACCAGGTATTTGCCTTTTCTGTTCGTTTTTATTTGAGGTAGCGTTTTGCTATGTAGTTCGGCCAGGCCTTAAACGTTCTTTATAGCCCAAGCTGGCCTAGAACTCAGGTCAATCCTCTTGCCTTAGCCTCCCTCCCGAGTGTTGGGATTACAAGTGTGTGCCATCACACCCGGCTGCCCTTTCTGTTGTTTTTCCATCATCTTGCTATATTACTATGCCTCCTTTCTCTCCTTTATGCTTTCTAAATTCATTTCAATATTTATCTTTGGACTTTTCTTCAGAAGAATATTATGGCAAGTGAATTCGTGATTCCAGTTCTCTCTTAAATTTTGTGACATCTTTCATACTCTATCTTATTAAAAAAGTTGCAGAAATATTTCATTAAACCTGATAGGTACAATGAATCATTTAAAGTAGTTATGAAACACAATTCATAATACTGTGTCTTATTCCAACGTCCCTGGAGGCAGAGTATTCTCTCTGTTGTAGAAGAAAAAAAGGAAAAAAATCCTTAGTTCTTTTAAATCAAATCAACTTTAAGCAAATGAGCACATAAAAAGGAAAGAAAACTTTCTCAACACCTAACACATACACAGTCTTACATAAAAACTTACCCCAAAATTTGTCTGAGAGCTTATTTTCGCAATTATACAGTTCTCTCCTTCTCTTAGGGAGAAAATTCCTCCCCACATAAGTTGCTACTCCAATTGAAAGAAAGACACAGTGTATGCTGACACACATGCATACATATATACATAATTAGCAGGAGTTTTAGTTTATAGCACTAGTGATAGTCAACTACATATCTTTCTACTCCTATTCTTGTCCAGGAAAAACAAAAAAAGTATGATTCCAGCTATTATAGAGCTTTCATGTAATGAAGATACTAATAAGGTAGTTAATATACTAATAAGATCAGCTGTAGCTGTACTATGCACTAAAAAGAAAAGAGGTAAACATGCTAGAAACTTGGCAGAAGTAGAGGGCCACCACATAGTGAATGGTTCAAGAAGTCTCTCTGATGATACAGAGTCACTGAGCACTGAGCGTTAAAAAGCCATATGAAGCTCTAAAGAAAATCTATTTTCAGGCCAAGAGAGCAACAGCCCCAGTATAGATAAACAGAGAGGTAAGTGTAGCTGGAGCAGGATAAACAAGGGAGAAAATAGAACTAAGTGGGATCACAGATGTAGACAGAAGAAGGTTCTGTGGAGGAAAGTTTTAGATAAGCTTCATTATTATAATAAATATAGCTTGTGGGTCCATGCAGACTAGAGTTACTTTTATAGCACAGTCCCAAGTAGGTTCTTCCTGATCCTTCCCCACATCTAGAGTTACTGACCATCCTAATTTGGACATCCTGTATTGTCTTAGTTTTACCATTGAAAGTCCATGTCCTAGGAAATCTCTCATTCCTGAACAAATCAACATGGTTATTCATCCTGTCATTTCCTAAGTCCTTTGTCTGAAGGGTCTAAAATGCACAAATACCATTCCAAGGTCTGAATTGTATCTTTTTCAAGGTTTCATGATGGAAACACAAAGTGTGCTCTGTGACCCAATTGAACTCCTTTCTTTCATTTCCTCTTTTTCCTTCTTTCATTTCAATCCTGTTCTTATTATGTTCTGCAGGAAAAGACACAGTTATCTGCTCGAGAAGGGGTGGAGGTGGGAGAGAAGTGAGTTTAAGGCTTATGCAAACATGATCTCTGAAGTAGTCTTAGCGACAGGAACACTCAGAAGTAAATGAAAAGGAGTAAGAGGCATGCAAATTGGCAGCAGAGGCTCAGTGGATGCCAGGCAGCATGACTTGGAAGTATATCAGCCCTGTAAGGTTCTGTGACCCATCCTATCAGCAGGGAAAATAAGAAATACATCATAATTTCTGCCTATTACGTGCTGGGAGGGCCTCCAGGGTAGAGTACAATCGGTCTTGTAATTGAGGCTGAAAGGATTACCATTTTTAAATCAAGGACAAGAGGGATGTGCATTGTGAAATGAGGAGGTCATCTGTGAGATAAACTCCCTTTTTATTGTGGTATAATCTCTAAGAGTCCATACTAGTTTGTCAGTGATCACAGATCTAGGGAGCCTTATTGTATTCATATTTAGTAGAGATGGACCAATCAGCAGCAAGGTCTTGATTTTTTTCATACAAACTGTAACTATTTGGAAGATAAAAGCAAGAAACAGAAGTTGAATCACAGCTTCTCTGCAAAAATGGACACTTTCTCTCTGCTCAATTGCATTTTGTGAAATGCCCTTTAGTTGAAGATGCTCTTATTTTTGCTGCTGCATTTTTTAAATGAAAGCTCATTATCTGAAGGACCATTAACCTTCAGCACCATTGACATAAATATGATACATTCTCTATATTAAATACAAAGTGTTCAGCAGCTCAAGGACTGACCCATCAGCACGACATTCAAGAGATGACCACAGTGAGATACTCAGGCATAAGGTGAGTCAGAGGCAATGGGGGGCTTTTGGGGGGAAATGCATAAGGGTGGATGGAGAGCAAAATCGTTTCTGGTTACTAAAAGGTTTTACTTTAATCATTATAGAGCATAAGCATTTGTTGTTTTAGAAACATTAGTTTTAACCCATGTGTCCCTTTTATTCAGTGTCATGGACGTCACAGGCAGGCAGTCAATCAGAAGTGCAATTGAATGGAGCAGAAAGAACATGTGTAACAGAAATCCACTTTATCCAATATCTGCAAAAATAATTTGGCAGAAGTTCTAAATTCCTAACAAAGAAGAAAATATTACTACCCTGGCATTCGCTTCTGTAGTTTTCCTAATCCAAGAATTCAATTTCAGTGAGATCATGGAAGCCATTGCGTAGGCCATTGTGTTGTTTGGAAAGTGCCCTCTCCACACTTCTCACCTCTAGGTCTTATTCCAACACACAAAGTTTGCCTGAAATTGTGATATCCCAGATTTATTTCTCTGGCTGAAGGCATTAAAGTTTCTGGAAGTGACTGTTTATACGTGATGGTTTTGCAAATTGTAAGCTCAGTTTAATTGTTCAATTGTGTATGGATATTTTGCACCACTTAGTAACTGAGAAATGGCTTTTCCTAGAATATTTCCCTGAGATCTAGCAAATGAAGAAGGACCTTTTAAAATGAGGTAGTTACTGTGAGAATACAAAAGGTAAAGAACAGTCTCAGAGCATGGAACGCTGCTGGGAAGAACAGGAGCAATGACATAGCTTCTGTGAGTGTGCTAGAGGGCTAGAGGTTGAGAAGCAGTAGAGAGCAGAAAATAATGCTGAGAAGTAAGAACAAAATGAAGGAAAATAAATAATGAAATAACTCAGGTGAGTAAAAGAAAATATAACTTTAAAGTAATCTATACTTTCTACTGATATGGACTACTATCGTAATGCCTTGTGTACTTCATGACATAGAATATTTTTGATGTCAAATAATTGTTGATATTAATTAAATTTAACAAAAATGCATTATACACAATACATTGTGTGAGGTGCAGGTATCCAAAGGTGAGAGAGCTTCTTATGGAGCTTAAATCTTGGCAAAGTTTATTTGTAGTTATAACCCGGATCTTAGAATATAAGATGATGAGTAGCTAGTTCTACAAAGAAGCATCAAGCAAGTGACTAATCCAGCCTTGGGTAAGGTCATGAAAAGCTTCCTAGAGGAGAATACTTTCATGATAATACAAGAAGAACCTATAGCAGTATGGTAAAGGGATGTGAAGGGGATGGGAAGAGAATTCTAGGCAGAGGAAACACCATACACAAAAGTCCAAGAGGCAAAAGAGATGTTGGCACTTTCCGGGAACTTAAAAGAAAAGCCTGGTTGGGGCAGTGTGAGGCAGAGTGAAGTGGAGGGCTGGAATGTGCAGAGGCCATGTCAGCTTATGCCAACCCTGTAATAGAATCCTAGAAGGCACATTCTGACAATTGCAAACAGGGCATGTGTTCTCAGGTTTGGGGGTAGCAGAAAGTTCTCAGGTAGCTGTTTTTCCAGCAGCTTCTCTGATGTACAACATAGCTGAAAAGGAATGAAGGACTGTTATGAGTCAAAATATTTGCTATGTGCCCTAACACCCTTACTCTTTACACTGGAAGAAAATTCCTCCATTCTCAACCTATGCAATATAGTTTATCCTGGATACAGTTCTAACAATTACTGAAGTCCTTTCCCTGTGTATAGCAGGTTAGAAAAAGTAACATAGAAAAGGAACAGAGCATGGTGCCCCACTCCTATTGCAAGATTATCATTGTCAATCACATTGGTAGCCTCAAGAAACAACATATGAATGGAAACTGATAACTAAAGTGACTCAGGAATAGAAAAATCTCAGCTGTCTCGGACTTTTGAGTTCTAGGGAAAATAAAAATACTTACTCTGGTATTTCTTAAAGGCATAATTACACGAAAGCACCGTACTGTGTTTAATGATGACACTAAATCATCAAGAAAAATATGTAAATTACAGTGGATATATTCTGTTGAAGTAAACATAGGCTTCTCTCACAAATTTTTCATTCACGTGCTTTTAATTTTAAATTGAAGTGGCATATCATAGGAAAAAACACACTGAAACTTAAAAATTTCAAAGTTTCTTTCACTGATAGTTTTATTCATCAGATATGAATTAAGCACTCTGCTATGTGCCAGGAACTGAAAATTGAAGAGTAAATAAAAAAAAGTATCTTTCATCTTAGAGATCAACTGCTATTGAGAAAAGTAGGGTATTAAGAAACCAAATAAGATGGTCACCTAACCTGAGTATGCATATTCAAGGAAGGCTTCATACAGAGTATGTATCTAAGCTAGTAAGTTCACCAGACAGAAAGAAGCAGTGGTAAACAGATTTATTCAAAGGGCGTACCATGTATTAAAGAGTCAAAATGAAAAAGAATATGACATATTTAGGGAAATGCAAGTACTTTGCTGAGAATGGAAAGATAAGCAAATGATAGATCTAGGTTAATATGTTCAATGTTTTTGATGGAATAAGAAGCCATCTAATAATACTGTTAAGTTACTGAGTAACATGACTCGTTTAAAATTGAAAACATTTACTCTAAGTACTGTATGAACAATAGATTGGAGGAAGCAGAGCGAGATAAGAAGTATGGTTGGGTGGCTGTTCTAGTGATCCAGGTCCAAGAAAATGACACCCTCCGTGAAATTGGCAGTGGTGCTGGAAGGTAGATTTGGAAAATGGAGGACTTGGCATAGATACAACATTGTGAATGTCTAGTGAGATACAGAGAGGAGTGAAAGTTATGTGTAATCTCCTGCCACAGGCAACAGGGCAGATGCTTATTTTGGGACCAAATATCACAGACAAACAATTTAAAAGGAAGAAACTTTTATTTTGGGTCACAGTTTAAAGGGTTTCTGTCTGGGGTCATTTGGTTCCATTGTTTCTGGGCCTGTGGAGAGGTGAAGAATCACAGAGAAAAGTGTGTGGCAAAGAAAAGCTACTCACGACATGGCAGCTAGGAAGAAGTGAAGGAGAGATGAGAAGGGAATAATGACAAGGTATGCCTTTCAAGAGTACAGCCCATAAGGCCTACTTCTTCCAAGTGACCCCCTACCCCTGATAGCCTTTTCAATTATGAATTCATCATTGATGAGGTAACAACCTCATCTAGGCCCCACCTCTGAACATTGTGGCATTAGGGATCAGGCCCTCAATACCAGAGTCTTTGGGACACACTACATATTTCAACCATAACAATGGTTCTTGGTAGAGTAAACTTCTCCCTCTACCCTCATCCTGAGGATATTTGCCAGTATTTTGAGAGATTTTCATTGTTGCAGCTGAGGAAAGGGGGGATTAGTGGCATCTAGTAGTTATAGGCTTGGGATGGTGCTAAACATGCTGTAATGAACAGGAAGCCCTTTCCCCTCAACAAATAATTATTTGCTCTGAAGTGTTAATAGTATGAATTTTATGAAACCTTGGACTAAATCATCTGAAAGATTTAGACCAAATAAACCCAGAGATGTCTTCAAATTAATGAGTTTATAGGAAAGAGTAGTTATTTACATATTGACCCTTAGTGGATAAGATTTAATGACATAAAAGCATCTCTTTTGTTTACCAACTGAATGAACAAAGCATTACTAAAATTGAATCATTGATATTAATGAGGCTGTGATTTATGCAATATCAATAACCTAAACCAATTTTCCAGATTATTGGGAGTCAATTGCGTGATCTACGTTCTTGGAGTATGTGTGTACATGACACAGAGTGTGTGATTGCAAACTTACTCTGATCATCCAGAGGCCCTTGTACTCCTCTTATCCATGTTTTTATTTGTTTCTTTACACACCCACGTGTATTCTTGGGAAGCAGGAGTAGAAAAAAGTCATACGAGTTGGTGGCAGCTTCTGAATGAGCTGTCTACATCCGGCAATCATCATTGTACCAGAAGCCTTATTTGTACAGTTTTAGACACCATGTTGGGAACACAGACAGAGAATCCCAGATTATCCACTCTGGATTGAGATATTTTACATTATTTTGGCTTTAGGATGTCACTTAAATTTGATTGAAAGTACTTCTATCCAATTTTGTATGAGACATCCTTCCTGAAGTTGTGCCTCTCATTCTGAGGCTGGGACTCTCTAGGGGCTGACCAATAAATATGTAATTAAAACACAGGCAATCTATGTTAGAGTTTGGAGATTTCACTCAACGTTGTGGAGAGTGGAATCCTTATCTCAGATCTACAATGTACATAGATATTCAAGAAATAAGTGCTTGTTGAATGAATGAATGAGGTCCCCAGCTTTAGGGAGGCGAAACAGAGCTCTTGGATTCTTTGGGAAGGAAATTGAGGAAGACAAATCTAATCTTTCTTAGCAGATGTGTTGGTTAATTTTCTGTACTGTGACAAATATCTGAGATAATCACCTTATAAAGAGAATAGATTTACTTTGGCTCACAGGTTTAGAAACACCTGTTCCTAATCAATTTTCTCCATTGCTTTCGGGCTTGTGGTGAGGCAGTATAAAATAGCTGTGAGTGCACAGCAAAGTAAAGCTATTCATTTCATGGCTGGAATGAAAAAAGTTAGAGTGAAAAGGTTGGGGTCCCACTATCTCCTTCAAGGAATATGCTCCCAATGACAAGTGACTGGAAGACCACGTAATAGGTCCCACCTCTTAGCTTCCACCACTTTTCAGTAGTATCAAGATGGGGACTAAGCTGTTACCATGCAGGCTTTGGGCCCACTTACATTCTAAACTGTAGTAGCAGATATTTAGGTACCTACTATGTAGCAACAGTGTGCAAAATACATAGGGGTTCTATGCTGAACAAATATGACTTAAGCTTTAATTGCATTCCTCTAGGGAGAAGTTAAAAGACCTCCTAGGAGCCTATGGAGTGATAATATTGGTCAAAACCAGCATGGTAGCAATTGATGTAATAAGAAATGCATACATTCTGGATACATTTTTAGAGCA